CTGGGACAGCTGCATCTGGCACAGGCCTCAGGCTGCTTCTACTCATGGTGGAAAAGCAGCAGGCAGCTGATGGGTACAAGCAGATCACATGGCGAGAGAGGAAGCAAGAGAAAGAGAGAGAAGGTGCCAGGGTCCTTTAAACAACAAGCTCTCGCGGAAACTAACAGAGCGAGAACTCACTCATTACTCCCCTCCTCCAGGGAGAGCATTAATCCACTCATGAGGGATCCGCCTCCAGGACTCAATCAGTTTCCAACACTGCCACATTGGGAATCAGATTTCCACATGAGTTTTGGAGGGGACAACACATCCAAACTCCATCAGGGGTGGAGAACTGAGTCCTTGCAGAAGCAAAAGGGGTTTCTGTTTAAGTCAGGAGGCTTCTGGTAAAGGGAAGGGGGGAGGGGAGGGGAGGAGGTGGGCAGTGCCATTTTGTACTTGGGCTTGTCTAAAGTGGCCCTGGTTGTGTTGCAGATCTATTATTCCTGCCTTTTAAGTACAGGAAAAGGGGAAAAGGGCGGAGGTCTCATTCTTCTGAAGCTACTTCCTGCTGGAGATGAGTGAAGATATGGAAAAAATAAAAGATTTAGGTGGCGGAGTATTGGTTTTGTGTGGGGAGGCTGTATTCTTCCGGAGAAGGGTCGCTGATTCTGAGGGGCTGATATCCTCCTTGTAGAGTCAATTCAGCAATCTTTTGGTTGGTGAAAGCCTGCATATGTTCCTCCAAGAAATTAGAGAAACACCAAAAGAAACAGGGGCCGAAAAGTAGGATGAGGCACTCACAGTTAGGGGTCCTAGTAGGGGCACAGGCCAGGGTATCCAAGGGTTCAGTGAAATGGTTTAAGTTGTTTGGGATCACCCCAGACTCATTTATATAATAACAGCATTCCTCCCCCAAGAAGAGGCAGGTGCCTGCCTTCTCCGCTGTAAGGAAGTAAAATAAAGGGCCCAACGGTTCTGTAAAGTGACTGTCGCGAGTGAGGTGACCTGTCACTGGAGGGAGGACATGCTATCTATGCTTAGTTCTTCTGAGAGTTTTTGATAGGATTGAGAGGCAGTAGCAAGGTCCACTATGCCAGTTCCAGTTGCAGGAAGGATCCCTGCCCCAATTAAAAAGGTACAATTAGTGCCCTACGGGAGCCAGCGGGGGGATCTCCATGAGAGGGGGGCCGAAGTTAGTCCCAGTCCCATCTCCATCCCTCCATCTGTCTGGAGGGTGATGTCAGGGATGAGCCATAAGACTATGCAAGAAATTGTGTTAGGGGGGCAGGCAACAGCATAACGTAGTTTTACAAAGGAAATATATTCCGGTTTTAGGGCATGGATGAGGAGGGGGTAAGTGAATGGTAGCGTTTGGTGTTAGTGAGGCAGAGTGTGGGCAGGCCCCGCACAACGCTGACAGTCCCCACTGAGGTGAGATTAGAGGAAAGTGAAGAGACGTTTGTGGAAACATTGCGGGCTGCATCGACAGGGAGTGGGGTGACCATGAAAAGTTTCTTGTGAAGTGGGAGACAGATGAGTCACTTGGGGACCAGTCTGATTCACTGAGGACTGCATCATCCCTGGAGACCTGGAACCTCCATGTTCCAGGTAAGGGGGAGCATTGAGATAGGAGGAAAAACACGGGAAGGATGCGAAGGGTTAGGGAACCAAAAGAATTCAAAGGGCACATTGCCACAGTGAAATTGCTAAGAAGCATCCTACTGATAGCAGGTAAAGGAGTGCCAGGAGAAGCCTTCCTATAGTGTTACACTGCTCTGGGGCAGCTGCTGCCAGTCCTGTAGCAAGTACTAGAACAGACAGTGTAAAAGTAGCTCTTGTGCGAGGGATGTGAAGCGGGTCTGCAGGAGTGAGAGGATAATCACCAGGGGAAAGAGCATCCTTTTGGGATTAGGGGAAGAGCAAAGGTCCTGGAGATTTTCAGTTTCGTGGGTCCTAAAATGGACGATGTGTGAGGAGATGTCAGGTTGAGGGTTGAGCAGAAGGACCCTCTGGCTTGGTGTTAACAGATTCTTTGGGTAAAGTCTCAGGTGCTAGTTTTACCAAGGATAAGTGATACTAAGGGGGCCTTTCCTTGTACTTTCACTGCTGTGGGGGTGGTGAGAAGTACTGTATAAGGCCCTTCCCAACATGGCGAGAGAGGCTTTGGGATTCAGGTTTTAATATGCACTTGCTGTCCTGGGCTCAGTTTAAAGTCTGAGGAGGTAGTGGGGAAAGGATGAGGTAATACACAGCCTGTTCCCAAAGAAGATTCCTAATGAATGAAATAGCAGGGAGACACTGGCCTAAAGGCCATGAACTGGAGGGGAAAGGTGTGAGAGTGAAGGGCCTATGTACATAAGTTCAAGGGGCTGAGGCCTGTGGGCTTGCAGGGGACAGCCCATGGGCAGGTGAGTGACTGGTGGGGAGGCCAAAACGAGGGATGATTTCTGAGGTGAGAGTGTGCGTTACTGCGGTAGCATCCTCTGAAGTGCAGGGAAAAGCCTCAGTCCAACCTGAAAAGGTATCTACTAATGTTAGAAGATAGCATGTCTTTTTGTGGGAGAGTAATATAAGGGCTGAAGAAGGTGTAGTGGGAGTTCCTAGCCTATCTGAACTGAATTATGGAAATCTAAAAGGATTTGCTCAGCTTGTGTGGTAGGGAGAACATAGCAACCGGGAGAGTATACCAGTTGTCCTGTCTCTGTGCTCCCAACGGTAGAAGGTGTTGTATTTCTTGGAGTGTGTATTGGGATAAGGGCGTAGGGGCCATGAGAAGGACCGGAGCAGGAGAGGAAGAGTAGGGGCCTGGTGACTGAGTAGCCTGTTTTGCAGTTAGATCCGCTAGTTTGTTTCCCTGGGCTATGGGGTCATTGGAGGTTTGGTGTCCTCTGCAGTGTTTAACCCCAACCTCCTTTGGGAGTTGTGCAGCCTCAATAGTTTGTGTTAGATAAATCTAAACTATGGCCTAACATGCCCAGGGGCGAGTGTGGAGGTGGCGCTCCCATCTATGAACCATGTAATGGGATGCAGGGAGATGTGTGGAAAGGGATTGAGAAAGAGGTCTAAAGCCTCCATGCAATTGTGTTCTAAGTGTCATGAGTGTTACAGGATGAGAGTGGATAGATTTTAAGGGAGGGCAAGGTTTAAAGGAGAACTGGGAGTTTTCAATGTAAGTAAGGTGAATAAGTTTTAGGCAAGAAAGGGAGAGAATTGACTTGGCCTTATGGCTGAGAAGGTCTTGACTGTTGTTTAAAAGTTAGTTTAGATCTTTCTTATGGTAAAAGGGTGGCTGCCGCCAAGACCTGTAAACAAGGGCTCATTCTCAAGCTTTGGTGTCTAGTTGTTTAGAGAGATATGCAACCAGGGAGAAAATATCTCCTGCCTTTTGTCCCAAAACCCCAACTGCCAATCTTTGGGTTTTGGTGACACATAGTATAGAAGGATGAGATAGGTTTGAGAGAGATAGAGCTGGGGCTGCAAGGAGAGTGGCTTTTAATCTCTGGAAGGGAGAATGAATGAGTTTTGTGGGATCTAAAGGACTGGGTGGATCCCCTTTGGCTGCCCCATAAAGTGGCTTTGCTAGCACACCAAAGTTAGGAATCCATAGGCAAAGGTACCCTGCAAGCCCCATGAAAGAAAGGATTTCACCCTTTGTGATAGGAGTAGGGAGTTCAGAAATTAGACTCTTGAACTGAAGGAGAAGAAATTTGGGCCTTGCTGGGGGACACTCGATATCCCTTGGATGTCAAGAAATTAAGGAGACCAACAGTGTGAGCCTGTGAATCCTCATAGGAGGAGCTACAAGGGAGGCGGTCATCCACATATTGTATTAAAGTGCTAGAGGTTATGGAAAGTTCAGATAAGTCTTGAGCTAAGGCCTGGCCAAAGAAGTGGGGGTATTCCAAAACCCCTGAGGTAGTACTGTCCGAGTAAGTTGTTGGGAACGGCACGTGTCAGGATTAGTCCTGTACTAAATGGTATGAGCCGTTAGGCTTTATAACTGGAAGGATGGGTGTATTGAAAGGTGAGTGGGTAAGCAGTGAGAGATGAGAAGAAAGGAGTTTGTGTATGATGGGTTTTAAGCCTATTAGGTGTTAGTTAGCGATGGGATACTGTGGGACATTAGGGAACAAAGAGGGGTTCAGCAATTTAACAAGGAAGGGGAATGGTGCGTAGCAATGGAGGGAGAAGAAGCGTCCCATACTAGGGATTAACTTTGTCTGAGGGGGAGGGGAAGGTGGAAGCCTCAGGGGCCAGGTCTGGGTGCAGCCTGTAACAGGAGTATTGTAGCTGGAGTTAAAGTGTTTAGTATAAGAGTAGCTTTGAATTTGAAAAGAATGTCCCATCCCAGTAAGGGGGCTGGGCATTGAGGCATTATTAACAATTTGTGTGTGAATTGGGTGTGATGTAGGGTGCAGGAAAGGGCTTGAGTGATCCCTGGGAAGTATTCTGATCCTGTGACCCCTACTACTGTGATAGAGGACAGGGTTGTTGGTCCTACATATTCAAGAAGGGTAGAGTAAATGGCCCCTGTATCAATGACAAAAGAGATCGGCTTACCTACTATGGGGTGAGTTAGCATGGGTTCACGCATGGTGATCTCCGTGGGGGCCTCAGGCCCTGGGCATCATCAGTCCTTCTCCTGGGCAAAGCCAAGAAGCTCCAGTAGGGATGGCCATGAAGCCAAAGGCTGTAGGTTGGTGACTGGGCCACTCCCTCTCTGGCCTTACAATGTAATCACCTTTTCAAGGGCCTACCTTTCAATTACCATAATAGGATTTCCCACCCTCAACAGTTACAGTGGGAAATTAAGCTTCTAATATATGAACGCTGGGGGCACAATTCAATCAATCCACAGCACTGCCTATAAACCTTCACCCAGTAGTCTCAGAAAGCTTTGGAAAGCCAGCTGGCCAGTTCATATGAGTTGTGGTGAGATAGTTGCTGAGAAGAGAGGGGTTTCTCATCAACCCAAACCAACTTCTGACAGAGACTGAACAAAGGGAAGTAAAAAAGGATTTTATCATTCATGTTTTATTGCCATGGTTTTTCCATCTCCTATCTGAGAGTACCATGCAAGATCTTGTAAAATGTTTCATTGGAATCAAGAAATGTTGTTTAAAACTTCTAAAACAGACAGAGATAGCCAAAGCTTTCTTCCATAAGCAACGATTGCCTTCTCCATTCCCACCCCAGTGGTACTGACATGCTGAGGGATTTCAAAGTTTCATAATTTAACTCAGTAGAATTCAATATATTTGGTATTGGATATACAATGTTTGTTTAATGAATGATGCAAACAAAGATACAACTGAATTGGATATTGAAGCAGAAAAGTTGGTTTTATACTCCACGCGCCTCCTCTCTCTAATTCTTACTACCTTGGCCACACACGAATCTTCACCCTCTGCCCATTTCTTCCTGTGCACTTTTGGTTGATTTTTCTCATGCTTTCACAGTTCAGATGCTGATATTACTGTTCACACAGCTTAACCTGTGACAGTGACACAGTTTGCTCCATGCTTTCTTTTCCAAATTCCCCCACCCTAATCCCCAGACCCCTTTCTAGGACCATTTTCTACTCACAGCATTAAGGGGGTACATCATTATATACTGGCAGACCATAGCAGTTCTAGATAGAGATTCCCCTGGAAAACTCAATTCTATGTCACTCCTGTGATTTCCGGTTACCTCCACCATGGCTCATGTTCTAGGGAGACAGCTCTGTTTCTGGGCACACATGGGAGCTCCCTTCATCGGTTCTGCTGAGTCCCCTAGATTTCCCAGCAGTTCTCACAGGAAGGAGTTTTGGGGTACCCCAAAGGCAACCAGCCCTGTAGCAACAGATGCAAACTATCCAGCTGACACTGCCTCAACCATTAATTCTATTTATCCATCTAGGAAAAATTTTTATACATTTAAGGGGTCATCATCCAGAGCTTGTGTTGTGGTTTTGCTGTGAGTGAATGGTTGGGACAGAGAAAGTGTTTGTGTAGCTCTGAGACTTCAATTCCCAGGAACACAGCTGCTCACTGAGGCTTTGCTGTTGGCACTTGAAGATCATAAGCTTCTCCTTTCCATTGGAGGCCAAGAGAAAATAGAGAGTTGGATGCGGGGCCCTCAGCCCAGGCTCTGAGTTGTTATTTTTCCTGCTGCTTTTGGAGACGCCTGATGGGGATGAAGCCACTGCAAATCCAGAGAGAGGTTCAGAGATGCTGCTGCCACTGTTCTCATTACCCCCGTGGGAAAAGGGATCATTTGCCCTGAGGGTCCTTGCTCCATTTAAATTTGTGGCCCTTCCAGTATCACACTGAGCTTTGAAGGTTTCTCTGCACAGAGAAATACAACCCTGTGTCCACTGCAAACAGTACTACCATCACCAGGCAGAAAGCGACTTGGTGCCAAGGTGGAGAGGAATGGATGGATGGAATTGTCAAACCTAGTAGGAAAGGCAGAGGGATAAGAAAAATGACAGTCATGAAAGCAGAAAATTGGAATAAACAGCAAAGTCACCAGTGAGGTTCCAGGGCATGGTGGGGAAGTCTGGGGGAAAGACTTTGCTTCTGCGCACTGACTCCTGATCTAACAGAGCAAAGCACAGCTCATCAAACACTTAGCAACAGCTTCTGCTTGTTTGATGGAGATGCGGCAGGGAGCATTTAGCAAGTTAGCTTGCAAGTGAGTTTTGTGTGACAATTAGGGAATTGTCAGACAATGCTGTTGTCTATAAACAGACAAATTTGTGGACTTTTAGTTTCAATTTTTTTAACTCCTAATTTTAATTTCAAACTTAAAAGAAAATCCAAATAGTATAAAGAATTCTCATATATCGCAGGTGGTTGGGATAAATAAGGACAGGTGTGTTTATAGGGAAGGAAATGTGGCTTCTGCTCCTGCTGTCACACTGCAGAGTGAATGTCACCTCTCAGCTACTTCTAAGGAACAGGCTGAAACAGAACTGCAAATGAACCCAGCAATTAGGGACAGGCAGGGTCTCTGCTGGTCACCAGGAAGGAATCCCACATAAAGAAGTCTGTGGAAGAATCAGGAATCTCCTCCCAACTCATCTTACCAGTGTGATTGCAGGATCTACACACAGTGGGCTCTGGGAGCTCTGTAGTTACACGTCTCTCACCTTGAACAATGATGTCTATAGTCTTTGAAGATTCATTTTTACGTCCTCCGATAAGTCCCCTGCAGAAGTAGGAGCCACTGTGACTGTATGTGGCGTTTGGAATGTGGAAGTCAGAATTACTATGAAAATACCTCCTGACTTGGCCATTCTGTAAATACGAGACCTTCTGCAGACGAGTATTCTTCCAGCTGTGGCACCTCAGCCAAATGGTCTCCCCCTCCTGGAACACCCACTGACGGGCCTGGAGCACCAGCCAGCCTGAAAGACACAGAGAGACCCCAGGCTTGAAAGCCTCAGCTCTCAGTGCAGAGCTCTTGCGAAGGGGACGCTCACCACCCAGATCCTGGGACATAATGGAAAACCAGACTGGGAGCCCTCTCCACAGAGCTCCTATCGGGAAAAAGCTGACTGGGCCCTGCAAGAGAACTCAAGTTACACCAAGAACTTTTGTTTAATGGGGAAGAGGGACACACACATACATGGTCAAAACATGAGGTTAGAGCAGAGGAACTAAAGAATGAGGTAGGTGAGAAGCAAGGCTGGGGATATCTGCCAGATCCTGACGTGCTAGACTTGGATTTGCTATGGCAGGCAATAAGAAGTCACAGCAAGTCCTCGATAAGAGAGTAAAAACTGCATTTGAAAGTGATGGTTTACCCCATTAGAGAAAAGGTAGATTTCAGAAGGAATAAGCAGGGCCGGCCCGTGGCTCACTCGGGAGAGTGTGGTGCTGATAACACCAAGGCCACGGGTTCGGATCCCATATAGGGATGGC